GCTCTGGGGGTACCCGGCATTGGCTCGACCCGCGGTTCTGAGCGGGGGATCGCCGGTGAGAGCGGCGCTTGCGTGGAGGCCGTGCTGGGCAAAGAGATCCAGCTGATGCACAGAGCTCCCGTTGTGTCCATCTGCGTGCTGGATGGACGCGCTAAACCGCTACCCGACCCTTACGAAGCCTCGCAGGACCTCTCCATTGCTCCGGATATGTCCAATCCTCATTCCGTGCTCATCGCCTCAGAAGAACAACTAAAGGTAACTTCAAAATATAGTCCAATGGGCCCTTGTCTCTTAAATTTATACATGTACATGTATAAAATCCAATCGGTGGTTTCTTGTTTTCCCACTGGTAAGATCCAAATTTGCAAGCACAGAAGTCACTGCCTCTGTTCTCTTTCGCCGTAGGTGTTCTCTCTCCCGAAGGTGAGCGCCAAGACGAAATTCAAGCTCACCGCTCATGAGGGCTGCCGGGTGAGGAAGGTTGCCCTGGTGGTCTTCGGCTCCACGGCTCAGGAAGACTACTGCGAGCACACGCTGGTGTGCCTTACCAATATGGGCGACATGCACCTCTTCAGCGTACCTGGCCTCAGACCACAGGTAGCTTGAAAGGCTTATTGATACCGATTTGGAAAAAAACAAACAAAAAAATTGCATCCGTCCTACTGTCCTGTTGTTTTTAGGTACGCTATGACTGCATCCGAAAAGAGGACATCAGTGGTATTGCATCTTGTGTCTTTACCAGAAATGGACAAGGTGAGGAGCAAATGACAGTGTCATTAAAATGCTGCATAATAGTTGCCAACGTACCAAGCGCGACTGTCTAATTTTTGTCTGTGTGTGTGTGTGTGTGTGTGTGTGTGTGTGTGTGTGTGTGCAGGATTCTACCTGATCTCCCCCTCAGAATATGAGAGGTTCTCCTTGTCTGCGAAGGTCTTCACTGAACCACTGTGCTCGGTTGCACTGGAGCGACTCTCGCAGCTCACGTTGGCCAGGTGATACACTATAAAAGCAAGTCACGGGTTACTCGAGACCCCTGTCTCTTTTGGGCACTAAAAAGCCCCCCCGCCCCCTTCAAAATTTGCAATATTGTAAGGGCACCAATGATGAATTGCAATTATGGCAGAGGAACACCGTATTAAATTACGTTGCTGCCTAAATCTGGACAAATGAAACGCTGTCCCCTTTGAGCGCCACCTACAGACTGCTTGTGAAACTGAAGAATGAACAGAAAGCTGGCAAAGCACAATCAACTGTGTTGGTGTTCATGTGTCTCCTCAGCGATGGCACGACAGTTCCTCCGCAGGCCAACGGAACACACAAGAACCAGACAGAACAAGCTGAAGGTACCGCACGCACTTCTCGACTTTGTTTTCTTTCTTTTTTTCTCTCCACTCCATTTTTTTTTTTTTTCATTCTCTTCACTGCTGTGGACCTTTTAAACTCTCCCCAAGTCGGGGTCCCCTCGGGTCTCCATAGTGACCATTCAGCACACAGCAATTGTCTCTCCTGCTCCGTGAGGCCTGTGGAGGCCTGTCGTCATGTGAAATTACTTCAAACGTTTCTCATTGTCATTAAATGTTTTTTTTTCTTCTGGAGTCACATTCAAGTTTACACACCACTTTATTTTGCAATATATATTTTTTTTCTTTTAACATCAGAAGATAATTTTAATATGATGGCTTTATTTTTATAAGAGTCTGATTCTTGTAATTTCATGCTCATATCGTTATCATTCTATGAGGACATTACTGCGTTTTCTCCCCATTTCAGTGCGGCCCTCATGCTTTGTTGTTGCCCTGAGGAGTTGTTTTTGGCTTTTCAATGGCTTGCAAGATTCGACAAGTTTAACATGAATGACGTCGTAGACACAAAGCTCGGCAGTAATGTTCTGACTTGTTCCCTGGCAGGACGAGCAGAGGAGCCCCCCAGCTCCGTGTCCTCTCCCATCTCGGATACGCCCCTGGACTCCCCTCTCAGCTGTGGTGACATCACTCTGGAATCGACGGGGGAGCTCACCGTGGAAGACGTCAGAGACTTCCTCACGTAAGCGCAAAGTCGGAAACACGACTCGTCTTCATTTCGGGTCTCCGCGAAAGCGACTTCAGAATAAACTTTTTTGTCGTTCGCTGCGCAGCACCGTGGACGAGGAGGAGAACAACCTGAAGAACATTCAAGAGGAGGAAGGACACCCTGCTGGCATCCTCATCAATTGAACAGGTGGCGACCGCTCACCACGTGGCCACACGCTGCACTAAGTACGGCCGCTGGCCACGTACGGCCCACCCAGCATTTACGTTCGTCTGGACAACACTAAAATTTGTAAAAGCTACATATTCCCTTTTTATTTTTAAAGAGTAAGATATGAAAATAGATGATCCCTAGATGGGAAATTTATGTGCCACAGCAGATTGTTCAAAATAAATAAATACATAGAATGAACCATTTTGAGCTGCAGATAAAGTACAATGAAATTGTTTTTATGATCAAAGTAGTACAATTTAAAAATGAAAATGTACAGTATTCTGATTTTATTTTTAATAGAAACGGGGACTGTTTCTATTCAAAATAAAACCTTCCCCACCAATCTCACCCAGAAGTGACCTGACGCATCTGTCATTTTAAAGTTAAAATGTGGTACACTACAAAAAGAATCGTTTTCTTTTTTTTTTTTTTTTTTAATTATATTTTTTAAAAAACAAAACTCTTGTGTGAACCCCCTCCCCCTTTTCAATATGACAACAAGCCAACGTAGCATTTCAAAAATGTTTAGTAAAGCTTGAGAACGAACATGTTGGCAGTTGTGCTAACAACCAGTTGTGCTAACAAGTTGTTAGCACAACTGCCAAGTTGAGTCATGGCTTCAGGGTTCGTGTTTTCAACATGTACGAGGAGTCCATAATCTCATACATCATAATCGCTACAGTTTCCAGAACCTACCCAGGGATGAGGAACACAAGAATGATTAGGCTGGCATCTTCATTTGAAAAGACCAAAAGTTGCACATGCGCTTCTTTCGTTTTTGTGGGCAAAAAGCCCACGGGGCAACTTTGTGCTTGCGTTACGACAAAACCAGCGGAGAAGATTCGCCGGGTGCCCCACAAAGACTGAGAGCAGTTTCACAAGAACATCAGGTAGGATTTCATGTGTATGGGAAATGCAATCATTTCAGAACAGACGTAATATGATTCAGTATTTTGATATTCCGCAGTTTTTCAATTGCCGATTGCACAATCTGCTGTGTTCAGAGTTCAGAAATTAGTTAAACGTGCGATTGTACCGATTTGTCACATGATGATGTCATCCTCCTACCTCGCTACATTAGTAGGAAGCGACATTATAAATGTTTTCCCTTTCATCTGACTTTCCCCATATTGAACGTCAAAAGTGGACTTGCGCGAACACTTGCCGCGGTTCTGCTTTATACCGGAAGTCGCGCCCATTCACGCAATAGCCCATGTGGCCTCGGAATGAAGTGAAGTGACCGGAAACATTTTTGGACAAGTTGCTAAGTGTCATTTTTCCATTGTTTTGCAGGGAGGGGCTCAGGTGGTCTCTGGATGGACTTGATTTTTAGTGCTGGACCACAAACATCTCATCACCCCATCTGAAGTCCACTGCGAAGCCCCCCTCCTGCTTTTGCTCTGCAGTCTGGGTTCCTCAGAGCATGAAAACTTAGTGGGACGACTAAATCCTACACACACACGGAACCACTTCCAACTCCCATCCTTTCCACTTAACATAGGAACATTAACTGCTCACTGTTTCATTCCAGAGAGGTCGGCATGACGTGCGTGTAGATTTTCTGTGGGGGAGACAACACGGTTGTTCTTGCACGATGCCAAAATTGACCATTTGGTACAGGCTGGAAGAAAGCCTTATATGGAAGTTTGTGCAGCTGGTTTAAGAAGGTTTTTTTTTTTTTTTTCTTTAATTGATTTTGGGAAGGTGGAAGTTTGACGGTGGCGCTGTGGCTGTGAGATTTTTGAACACCATTTAAACACATTGACACTTGAAGCAGTGTGTTCATAACTGTCACTGTACACTGACAAGGTCGTGACCATTACAGTGGCAGGGAAAAAAAAACATTTTATTCTTCAGCTTCCATTTCTCTGACAGAAGTCTTGTGGGAAGTGTGGCAAGTAAGGAATCGTGGGCTTGAATGCAAAGTGTGTGTTAGTTGTACAAGTGTAAAGAATGCACCTGTTTGGATTGCATTGTGGCTAATGTATGCTGGCAGCAGAGCTTGAATCACCAGTATTTTTTTTTTCAAACTTTTACTGTGTAAAATCAAATCTATGTATACATGCAGTGTCTTTATGTAGGGTAACATATGATATGAGTCACGTGTTCGAGCCTAAACAACAAACAAAAAAAGCTTCCAGCATCTTTTAATCACAAGACTGACAAGCAAAAAAGGGACCTCAGTACTAACTTATCTAGCTCAACAAGTAGAAATTCGATCACGTCTACCTTTTTGTCATTTTAGTTTTGATGTTTTTGACTGACACAAGTCATTAACCCTTCCATGCTATAGCTGGCATAGTTTTTAATTCCACGGTTGTTTTTTTTTTTTTTCTTTCAGTCATTATGTTTTGTGATTGGTATTTTAATAGTGTTTAGCATTAGCATTTCAGCTGATGGATTGTGAATGTTAATAAAAAGATGTACTCAAAGTGACGTTGGTTTTATTGGTTTGTTTGCAACCAAGAAGTTTGTTTACCTTAGAAGAGGGGTCAGCAACCTTTTTGAAGCTGAGAGCGACTTCTAAGTACTTATTTAATGTGAAGGGTTACCGGTTTGATACTATTGATACTTTTAAGTTCAATTAATACTGATAATCATTGCTCAATTTCAAATGGTAATCAGTCCCACTACTGATGTGCTATTTTCAGAACAGGCCCCTTCAAACCTCGTTTGTAATCTGTAAAAATTAAGCGATTCTATCATCAAATTGATTATGTGAAGACTCAAATGTGGTTTGGTGTTTTTATAGAGCTGTTGCTACCTAAACACACCATACCATAAAGTAACAAGAATGATGATAGATGTGACATTTTATTTTTAAAAATACAAAATACATAAATAAAGCATCAGCAGGTGGCATCAGGAGCCCGTGCACTCAAACACTTAACAGGCACATAGGTCACCCCGAGGGAACGACAAAGATTTGTAAATCTGCTCGGACAACCATCTGACTTGTGTTCTTCATTGTTGAAAAGAAAAAAATATTTAGAGATGTGATATGAGCTCCCATTAAATTATCTTTCAACTGTAGATTTTAAACCCGTAAAATCTCACGTGGTGGCCTTTGCTCGCAAAGCGCCACAAAAGCAACTTTAGTCCGCGTGACTGTGAGGAGGTTCTATTGGCTGCGCGTCGGGTCACTCCAAAGCGTCGATGTGACTCATGTGTCTGGCATGCTGACTAAAAGCAACGAGCGGTGACGCATCGCCATCAGTGTATAGATGTGATATCAAGTATGTCGAAAATAAACATTCCACCGAAGAGCGAGGACAGTCTGCTTTAAAGTCCTCAATGAAAAACAAATATATATATAATAATGTGCTTCAGATGAGCTGTGCAAAATGGCACTAAGCATTTACGGCACGGGCGTCTCATCCAAACATTCTCAGCAGTATGCAGAGTTGCTAACAATCTGTTCAATATCATGTAACAGGAGAAAGAAAACCCCTATCGTTTATAGACAGCCATTTATTCCATATCTTTGAGAACCATATACTAGTATGCGCTTTGTCCTCACTAGTAAGACAGTTGAGCGCACTTACTGGATATCGAAAGAATGCTTCAATGGCATGCCATGATACAGACATGTTCAGACCTAATGAAGTGGTGTTATTTCCCAGATGGTATTCATATCAATAGCGTAAAACGACATCGTGTATCGGTCCAAACAACTTTCATTGCTTGTGCAGGCACAGAAATCTCTTGGCAGATGGATTTTTGATTCATGTTTATCATTAATTGATGTACTGTGAGCCTTTGATAACCATACGTGATATCTTGGGGGTTTAAATTTAGCCCTCAACTTGTAATATGGATGAGCTGAAAAAGTTTGGGACACCCGGCGATAGAGGAAGTTGGCAGCATGCGAGTGTCTATGCGGGGGGAGTTTTGAAAGCCCCCCAGGCGTGGAAGCAGCGTGCGAAGCAGTGCGGCTCATTTCCCTTGCGCACTAGTCGCAATTTTCTGGGTTGCTGGTTCTCTTTGGAGCGCATGTGCTGGATGTACACCTGCAAAGATGCACAAGGGGGGGGTTTGGTTTGCAAAAATGCACCACGCCAAAAAGCAAAGAAAAAAAAAAAAATAAAAACAACAACAAAAAAACGACGTAACTGACCTGACAGGCTTTGAGACTCAATTTGATCTCCACTTGGCTCGTCTGTGTGCCGACCCACATGTACACCTGGGGGCGTCGCAACAGAGTTCAGCTTTCGCCCACAGCATCATCATTTTACCAATCCCTACCTCTTGGCCGTTATCGAGCAACATGATGTCGTCGTCAGCCAAGTCGTCCTGGCAGAAGTCGGAACACTTCTCTGACACTGAGAAATAACCTTTCTCATTGGAACACCTGAAAGTAAGAGAGGGAACCTTTTCACGTGCCATAGATTTTTTATTTTTTTATATTGCCCATTGAGAGATGGACTGTTTACAATTCGTGTGGCGTGAGCTCAAAACGCACCTGAAGAGACGAGCATATTTCATGTACTCGGCGTCCTCGTCGTACTGCTTCTGAGCACCGATGCCGACCCAGAAGAAGTTCTCTGGTTCCTCCCCCTCATTGATGACCTTGGAGGGGGGGGAAAAAAAAGAAGGTATGGCCGTACTTGTCAAAACACAAATTCATCCATCCATTTTCTAGGGTTAGTTATGATCATTTTTCAATGAATTTGCCGTTGTGGTACCTGTTTGCTGTAGGTGTCATCAAACATGCTGTTCATGATGTCCTCGGCCAGCTTGGCCTCATCCGGGTCGGCGGCTCGGCCCACCCAAGTGTAAACGATGCCTTGGTTGTCTGTGCTCTCGAAGGGGACCTGCGCACCACACGGACACCGACGAGGATGCTTCAGGATGGTTATAAGGCCCTTTGGAGAATTACATTCAAGGTGAAACGATGGCTCACTTTGAGAATGAAGCAGAACTCCGAGTTGAGATTGCTGGAGTCCGTTCCGATTTGGATGGTTCTAACGGAGAGATGCGACATGTTAAGTTTGAGCTCCGATCTTGATGCGGTGTTCTCTTCTCGAGTGAAGGTTGTAACCTCGCAGGTTACAAAGCGGACATCGAAGTGCAGCCCGTTACCTGGTGCAAAGCGCACTCCCGTTGGTGCGGATGTGATAGAGAGACGGCTGGGCCGAGTCAGTCTTCTGTTTCCTCTTCCCTTTGTGGATGATGAACTTCCTCTTGAAATGGGACAAGAACTTGAGGTTCTCCTGCTGCTGGGTCATCCGTACCACCTGCAGGGACAACCCAGAGGAGATGATTCCTTCGTTAAAAAAATATTCGGAAGGCATCGCTCGTCGCGTGTGCGCAGATCGCTCACGTTACCTTCAGTTTTCCCGGGAAGAGGCTTTCAAACTTCTTCTGCAGCGAGAAGGTGAAGGTGAGCCAGCCCATGTTGGAGGCTTGTCGGCCTTGCCAGAAGTACACCACGCATTGGAAGTCCTCCTCCGGCTGTTTGTCCTCCTCGTCCTCCCTTCTCTTGTCTTCGCCCTCTTTCTTCTCCTCGTCTTCCTCATACTCCACGGGCACCCAGTATCTGCCAAAACATGGTGAGATGATTTAACATAACTTTTTAATATGGTAACGAGTCCTTTCACACTGACACTATTTTTCCCCCCCTCTCCTAGCTTCATCCCAACTCGTGTTTAAGGCGGTGATTCCCAAAAACTGAGCCAAGGCACTTTAGTGTGTCTTGACAGATCATCAAATGTGCCGCGGGAAATTATCCAATCATTAATCGGCATGGCACGACGACGGTCTTGCTCTACGGTGACGCCACTGACGTGGCAATTTAGTGGCAAGGCTGTGCGAAGAGGCTATTGAGACACAGGCACACCTGCAGAGGAAGACGTAGCAATCCTGAGTGAAAAAGTGTCCAAACTCCTCCTCTGGAAGACGAGCAAATTTTTTGCCCTCCAGCACAAAGCCTTCCATGCCATCCAAGTCCTCGTTCCACTCCTCCATCAGCTGCTCCGCCTACACACCGCGTGGGGGGGAAAAAAAAAACACATCAGCGGAGGCTGCCCGTTTGCGGACCGGCGAATACGTGTGTTGCGTTACCTCGGTGAGAGGCATGGCCGGCTGCCTGGGAAGAAAGAGCGCCGTGAGGTCGGCTTTCATCTGGTCTTTCTGCTCTGTGTCTTTCTTCACCTGACAGATAAAACACACGGACACCCCGTGAACCAAAGCAATCATCCTGATGAAGAAAAATGTGCCTGCTCGTCGTGTCTTATCTGCCGACCTTGCCCTGTAGGCTGTCATTCTGCTGGACGGTTTCCGCGGCTCTGGTGTAGTCCACCTTCAGCACGTCGTCCCAGTTCTTGAATTTGGACTTAAAAACCTGACCAGGGCGATAAAAGAGGGGAAGAATGTTTGAAAGGTCAGTTATTCACGTTAATGTGCCTTTGCTGTTTTTTCACAATTTTTAAATTCTTTTTTTAAAAAGTATCAACATATTGAATGGACTTTGGTTACTTTCATCAAAACCGCTCTTAAAAAAATAACTGTCTCATAATGATATATGCAAATTTAAAAATGCGTCGCATCACGACAAACCAGTAATGCTTCGAGAGTGACATCCACTGATTACATGAACAGTGGCCACGGGCCATGCAGGACTCGTTAGGCATCAACAAAAACTTTTTGCAGGTCCCAAGGAGTGGACGATTCCAGGCAGAAAGGAAGGTGAGAGCTCGTAATTTTGACATTTGGAAGCGCTACCTGGCACTCGGTGCCCTCGAGGTTTCGAGTGACGCACGCGTGTTTGGGCCGGTGCAGCATGGAGCAGATCTCCTGACCCAGTTTTAAGGCGGCGGCTCGGACGAGTCGGGGAGACTTCCTCCCGATCCAGATGAACACGTCAGACCAGCAGTCCAGGATGTACACGCACTTGGTGTCCAGCAGCGACTGCAGCTGAGGGGGAGGCGGTGGAAAGCGGAGACGATGGAAGTAGGTCACATGGAAATTGGCTGTTTGATCGGCAAAGCAAACGTGATACGTGTACAGACGCGTAACTTTGACAAGTACTTCTTGACTTTGTGTACGGATCATTTGGGATTAGTTGTGAGCCCGATCTGGCTAATCTGAACCGGATTACCATACCAGTCTGAGCTCTGGCAGCGTGTCCAGTTTGATCTTGTGGTCTTTGTGCTCCACAGACAGCTTGTAGTTAATCTGAGGAAGCTCCAGATAGCCAAGACCCAACCCCACCTAAAAGACCAAGGCGTCAGCAATCCGCCCGTTTCCCTGTGCGGTCATCCTGAAACGGCCGTACAAATCCAAACGTTTGACTGACCTTGTACAGTTTGGGTCTGATGGCGGAGAAGTCATCCGGAACGTGTTTCTTGATCTCCTCCGGTTGTCCTCCAAGTTGCTCCCAGAAATTTGGAGGCTCCTGGTTCTGTTTTAGAGTTGTGATCTCTGCCTTGCC